CGTGGTTCAGGAGTGGAACGAGTACACTTCCAGTTCCAACTCGATCCCTGGAGGAGGTGGAGGTGGTGGCGGTCATCAGCAGCTCGACTCTTCGGACTGGTTGGCTTTGGCGGCTGGGAACTCGGTGAGAGCTCTTCGGGTCTAAGTCGGGAACCACGGGATCAGGGGAGGGGACGGGTTGGATGGTTGCTTGGTCGCTCTGCCTCCTCTCCCACTCCTTTCCCCTTGCTCGCACTCGGGAGGCCGCCACATCATGTTCTCTCACCCTCCCTCCCACTTTCTCCCCTCCTCCCTCTCTCTTTCTATCTCTACCTCACTCACTCACTCACTCTCTCTCTCTCTCACACACCCTCGTTCCAAAACCCTGAATCGATCCCAGGATCACCTTTTGAGGGAAGATGTTGTACTTTATGACTTCCTTGGGGTCATCCTGGCTTGCCCCTTCCTTCCTCCATCTTCCTTTTCTTTCCCATTTTACAATCATTTTTGATTTTTTATTTTCTTTACATCTGCGGGCGTGGAGGATGTGACTGACCTCCCTGGACTCTTTCACGAAGAGGGGAGAGGGGAGAGGGAGGGGGGCAGACATGGGAAAGCTGCGTTTGGGAGAGGTGATCGGTGGGTAGGGTGGGAGATGGGAAAGAAGGTGAAGGTGGAAGGGTGCATGCATGCTTGTGTGTGTGTGTGTGTGTGAGAGAGAGAGAGAGAGAGGGAGGGAGAGAGGGAGTGAGTGCGTGTGCGTGCCTGTTGCTTTCGGCGGTCGGCACTCACACCCACACTCGGCGACTCTGTTCACCGAGACCCTTTCATTTTTCATTTTTTATTTATTGATTTTACTCGTCGGTGGTCGTCTTGATGTGGATCGGATCGAGGAATCTTGGTTGGTCGGGCTGTTTTCCTTTTCCCTCCTTCTCTTCTGTTGGTATGTAATACTTTCCGATTCGAGTGTGATCACCTTGAGCGTGTGTTACTCGTGAAGAGGTTTCGTGGCCAGAGAAGGGCAAAGAAGGAGAAGAAGAAGAAGAACACAGTGCCACGTGACTGGTCACTCACCCCCCTCCAACCTGCACAACACAACAATCACACACGCACACGCACACTCAATCACCCTCTCTCTCTCTCCCTCTCCCTCTCTCTCCCTCTCCCTCTCCCTCTCTCTCCCTCTCCCTCTCCCTCGCCCTCTCTCTCTCTCTCTCACACACACACACACACACTCGCCGAACGTCGAGAGTGACGCGAAGAGTGACGCCAGGGTGGATCGGGTCCGTGTGATCTTTGAGTGAGAGTGAATGTGTTCGTGTCGGTGTGAGTTGTTAGTGTTGCGTGCGTGTGTGGTTGGGATTGTATTGATCCCATCCCGATCTCGAATTCCAAGGGGGGGGTGGGCGAAGCTTGAAATTCAGCCGTGGCAGCTCCGATCGAAACGAGGCGCAGAGGGAGAGGGAGAGCGAGAGAGAGGGAGAGCGAGAGAGAGGGAGAGGGGGAGAGGGGGGGGGAGAGGGGAGAGGGGAGAGGGGAGAGGGGAAGAGGGAGGGAAGGGAGGCCCTGGATTTCTTCTTGCGCTCGTCCGTCGTCGTCTACGTCGCCGTCCATCTTCGTCACCCCCCCGCCCCCCAAAAAAAAATCCTTTCCATCGCCTCCATCCAACCCTACACCGACACCAAAAGACTCTGTCACCGCAAACATCCTACCAGCAAAACAACAAACCCTCACGTAAACGAAAGACCCGAAAGACCCATACGAAAAGGAAGAAGAAGTAGGAAGGAAAATCAAAGTAAAAAAAAAAAAAGAAAGAAAAAGAAAGGAAAGGTCACTCTAGGGGAGAGCGCAGCATACATTCGACTCGATCAACGTCACTCCGAGCAGAGTGAAAGAAAGTAAGATAACCAAACAAGGCAGCAGCAGCGCACTCCTCCAAGCCTCTTCCATCCAGAATCGCAAGACCACCGTCGGAACCTTCTTGTGAGTTGATCTCAAACCAAGCACCAGCGAGCGATCCCACAGGCCTCCCGATTGTATGCACGCCTTTTCCCCTCCTGGGCTCGCCACCTCGTTTCGTTTCTTGCCTTGAAACCCTAACCCCTTGGTCTTCACCCTGACCCCCAACCTCTTCCCTTCCTCAACCCCAGCACTCATGTCGGCCGCAACAGCATCTAGCAGTACCCCAGCCTCAACAGTCCCTGCCACCACCACATCCACCACAGGCAATGGCACCCCTTCGGCAACCACCAAGCCTGCCGTCCAGCCATCCGAGGTAGGATGGCTCTTTGTCCCGCAATACTACACCTTCCTCAATCAGAACCCCGGCAGGCTCCACTGCTTTTACACCAAAAAGTCCACCCTTGTCCACGGTACGGAGCAGGAGGATGCGGAGCCTTGTTTCGGGCAGCAGGTGCGTGACTTTCGTACCCCGTGTTCTCCCCTCTTCATTCCGCCGTCTCCTGCCTAACTTCAGCCCATTCTCTCCTCCCTCTCGCCCTCCTCCCTCCTCCCTCTCCCTCTCCCTCTCCCTCTCCCTCTCCCTCTCCCTCTCCCTCTCCCTCCCATGTGATGTGCCCCGCTGCTCGCAGCAAATTCACGACAAGATCAGCTCGCTCGGTTTCCAAGATGCCAAGGTCTTTGTCTCCAACGTCGACAGCCAATCCTCTGCCAGCGGTGGTATCATCATCCAGGTGCTCGGAGAGATGTCCAACAAAGGCGGCCCTTGGCGCAAGTTCGCCCAGACCTTCTTCCTTGCCGAGCAGCCAAATGGTTACTACGTTCTGAACGACATCTTCCGATACCTCAAGGAAGACGACGAGATCGAGGAGGAGGCCGAGGCTGTCGACCAGGCCATACAGGACGAGATTGAAGAGGCCGACAAGAACGGAACCGAAGTCGTTCACCAAGCCGAGGCCAACCTTGTCGGCCAGCCAGATGCCACACCCAGTGTCCAGCCCGTCCAGAGCCTCGAGGCCGAGCCCGCTCCGTCCGCAGTCGCCGCCGAAATCGAGGCGCCTCCGGCCGCAGACTCGAAAGCTCTCCCAGCCTCCGAGGAAAAGGCCGAGGAGAAGGCTGTTGCGCCACCAGCAGAGGAGAAGAAGGTCGCAGAGGCAGACAAGGAGGCGGAGAAGGCGGAAGAGGTTGAGGAACCCAAGCAAGAGCCTGTCGTTTCCGAGGAGACACCCGCCGAACCTGCCAAGGCCGCAGAGAGAGCTGTCCCTGCCGAAACCTCTGCTCCGGCCAAGGAGGCTGCCGCTGCTCCTTCTGCCGCTCCAGCTCCAGCCGCCGCCGCCGTCAAGGAGGAGGCAGCCCCTGCCAAGACGCCAGAACCTGTTGCCCCTGCGTTGCCAAAGACCTGGGCCAACCTGGCCGCCTCCGGTGCTAACCGATGGGGCTCGACTGTTTCCGCCGAGGTCAAGGGCGTCTCCTCGTCCAGGCCTGCCGTCACCCAGTCCACTCAAGCCACCCGCCCTGTCAAGGCAGCAACAGGTGCCAAAGAGACCAACGGGACCTCTGCTGCTCACGCCAACTTGACGCTGGCCCACGGACAGGTCTTCGTCAAGAACGTCGTCCCAGAGCACGTCACCACAGAGGCCCTCCGAAGCGCCTTCGAGACCCAGTTCGGTGCCCTGAGGGAATGCCAGGTCGTCGCCTCGAAAGCGTGCGCCTTCGCCGAGTTCGTGAGCCCAGAGGCGGCCAAGAAGGCCATCGTCGCCTCGTTGCCCATCAGGGAAGGTGGCCAGGGCGGTGTCCAAGTCGGAAAGGATGGATGGACCGTCATTGTTGAGGAGAAGAGGAAGCCCGGTGACAGGCCTGCCGGAGGTGCCAGGTCCGGAGGCCCAGGCGGCCGGGGCGGCAATGGAGGTGACCGAGGATCGTACACCAGGACCAACACCGGAAGGGGAGGAGCTGCCAGGACCCACACTGGTGCTCGCACCGGCGGTCGTGGAGGTGCCAAGTAAGTCTACTATTCTCCTCGCCTCGCCCTCGACAACGAACCTGTCCGCTCCGCATTCACCGAATTGTTCGACGTTTTCTAACTCCTTGCTTCATCCCCAACCCGTTCTGTTTCTGTTTCTTTTTTTCTTTTTTCATGCTTTCCCTCGCCAGCTAAATAAGGAGGAAACACTGTCACTCTGCCGATGCCACGACCCACCTCTTCTGTCCTTGCGCCCTTCCTGCCCCAAGACACACGCCCACTACTTTCCTCTCTCCTCTGGGTAACACTATTTGAATTCGCAACTTTTCCCCACAGTTCTCGACGTATTCCCCTTTGAGTGAACCCCCCTCCCTCACCTTCCCCTTTTACCTCCCTCGTTCATCCCTCTCTTTTCCTCCACTTTCAACATAATGCAAGTAAAATCAAAAAGAAACGCCTCAATCGAACGGGGCATAGGCATAAAATCAACCACACCGTCACATCCGCATGACTACCATAACGAACCGAGAATCGCATGGAGGAGGAAACAAGGACGGGGTGGATGGAAGCAAAGATGAAGAGTGGGGGAAAAAATCCAAAAAAAAAACAAGCAACCTCAATCTAATCTTCAATCTCCCCCGCTAACCCCCACAGCCCCATCCCCATCCTACATTTCGCCTTCTCTTCCATCTTCTGCCATTCCTCCCCCGCGAAAAGTAGGAAAGAAGGAAACCGAGAAACCCCATGTGGGTGAACTTTTGTCAATCTCGAACCCCATTTTCCCCCCCATGACCCCAATCAGCTTTTCGATGTCAAGAAGAGGTTCAAAGCGCCGGTTTGAGCCAAGCTTTCATCACGGAGGAGGAGCAGAATGTTTACCTTGGGTAGGGCCACCGAGTGTGTGTGTGTGTGTTTGTGTGTGTGAGGGGGTCTGCCTTGGCCGAGTTCTTTGGTGGAAGGGTTTCAGCGGTGCATGTTGAAGGTGAGGGTGACGCGGCTTCCTCGGATCTGGACGAAGAGTTCACACTTACCTCTCTTCTAAGCATCGTTGTCATAATACAAATTAAATGTAAACTTCTGATTGGTCGACAGTAATCACGTCTTCTTGGTGGAGTTGGTTACCACGTGAGTCTCATATTAAATTGTGATGGCGGATAACTGCCAAGTGATCTCAAGGTCGCCAGTTCGATCCTGGCAGAGGACATTTCTTTTTCCCCCGTCTCTCTCTCCAAATTGACCCCCAGATACGCATTCTCGACAGGATCGCTACGGAAAACGTCAGACCCCTGGGATGCGACGGATTCCCTGGTTCCTCCTCCTTCCCTTTTTCTTTTCCTTTAGGCCCACGCGTGGCTCGTCTCCCTCCTTGTCAAACCTGTTTGCCGTTAGATTCCATTGAATTTATTGTTACATTTCCGGGGGAAAGAAGAATTGCACCCCAAAATGAAGGAATGGACGCTTTTTATCCTGAGCTGAACCTCGGGAGGTTTTGCGAAGGTGAGGGACAGGAACGAAGGGGGGGGGGGGAGAAGGGAAGGAGGGAAATTCAGAGGGAAAGGGGAAGAAAGAAATGGGTTCTTCCCATCCCTTACCATCCAGGACCTACGGAGCTGAGGTGGAGACTTCTGGTGGACAGACGGTATGGCCATGGCAAGCGGAAGGGGAAGTTGTCCTGGATTTCTGGAATCGCAAGATGTGCAAGCGACCCGAGGGTCTTGAAGGAAAAGCGGCGGACAAGACGCCTTGGACTGATGGAGCTGGTGAGCGAGGAGGGTACAGGTCCCTCTGCCCCAGGGTTCCAACCAGTCCAAGATCGAAGATTACGTCCATGGAGAACGCACGGCGTCCAGAAAGCCTCGGTGTGACTCCTGACCAGGCCCTACGGACCGAAACCTCCCTTTCTCAGCGCCACCACCACCACTACGATCGGGGCCGTCGATCTGCTCCGACGCCGGCCCGAGGAAGAGAGAGGTCGATTTTGTTCTTACCATTGTTATTTTTTGTCTTTTTCGTTCATTTTTTTTTCGTTCTCTCTGCAGAAAGTCGAGACCAGGTTTGATTTCTCGGAAAGCGATGACGGAAAGCAGGCAACAGCGTTCAGTTGACGGACGTTCGTGTGATTTCCTTTTTACAATACGGTTGGACTGGCTGGCTCTAATGAGTCGGGGGGTGAAGGGGTGGGATGAGGGGTTAGGATTGTGTCGGGGTAGAGGAGGGGGGTAAAGTGCGGTACCTTTCTATTTACTTCTTTTCTTCCCTCCCACCATGATCCACTTCGCTTCCTTTACGTTCCGTCGGGGTTGTGTGTTGGAGAGTGTGGGATAGAAGACGGGGGAAGGAATGAGGGGAAGGGGGTCAAGAGGACGGAAATCACAGCGCCTTCTTCTCCTCAAGTTCAAACTCTTCCACCACGGCTGGAGAGGTCCCGTTCCTGTCAATGCCAGCTGGCCTCTCATCGAGCACACCGGGTCTGCTGGCAGGTGGCGGCAAGGGTTGCGAAAAGTGGTTCCTCAGCTGCTCGTCGGCGATCCTGTGGACCTCCCTGGCCATGGCCTTGGAGACGCTTAGCAGTGGCCCTGAGAGGTTGAGCTTCCAGACGACGAACGCCGAGCCGAGCAGGGTGAGTAGGAAGGCAAAGTAGATGGGCGACGAAAGGACGACCATGAACTCGTTCCATCCGAGCACGATCATGACGCCGTACATCCAGTAAGGAACCTGGGCGATGGACGAGACGGTCGACCTCTTGGCCTCCACGTAGTAGGCATCCGCTTCCTTCCTGAACCTGGACCCGATCTCTGCTTTCCTCGTCTCGGTGAATAGCTGCAGGGTGGCTGGGAAGTCGAACTCCTCCTCCTCTCCCCTCTCGACAGCGGCAGCTTGGACGGGGTCGTCGGAGGAAGACGGGAGACGGATAAGGAGCTCCTCATCCTTTGGCGCGATTCGCGAGTAGAGGGGGATGAGCGAGAGCGTTTCATCCCTCGCCGTGCGGAAGGCACCGTCGATGTCATCATCGGGCTTCCAGACCCTGGGAACGCCTTCGTCATCGTATCGGAACCTGTCCTCGAAGCACGACCTCAGCTTGGCTGCGAGTACCGTGTCGGCCGTCTGTTCGTCCACTTTGGCCCGAAGAGACAGCCACGACTTCCTCCTGAGGGCGGCGAGTGCTGCCTTGTTTTCATCCTCGGTGCAATTGAAACCTGTCCCAATGTCAGGCGGGCCGACGGGGGAGAATTCAAAAAATGGGAGAGAAAAGTCAGTGAGTCAATCAATCACAGCTTTTCATGCCTACGTATCCCAAAGCCGGGAGGACGCCAGAAAGAAAAAGCTCACTCTTTGCCTTCCTCAGGTAGATGGCCTCGGCATTCTCGAGCACGCTCCTGAACGCGACCAGAATCTTGTCCCACATATCAGGCTGAGGTTTGGCCAATGCCAGCTCGACGGGCTCGGCCAAGCCTTTCTTCACGTTTCTCTCGATCTGAGCCACCATCTTCTTCGTCTCTTCTACCCTCATCACATCGGCGATGCCCTGGATCTCGTTTGAAAGCTGGGCTTCCTCCTCTTCTATGCTCCAATCCGTCTCAGCCAAGAGTACGAGCTTGGCAGCCGCAGCGAATCGATTTTCGGCCTTGCTCCTTTCCGTCCCGACCACCTCGCCAAAGTCGTAGTTGACTTCGCCCCTCATCCTCTCGAGCACGTTGGCCCGGAACGAGGCGAGTACGACCTTGTGGAGATTCTTGAGCTGGCCGAGGAAGAACGGCGACAGGGTACCGTTGAGCTTTTCCAGGAGGTCGATCCTCTTCCTCTTGTAGACTTCCTGATGGTACCTGGAGGCGTCCTTGTCGAACTTGGCGAGCGCTACCGACCGGTGCCGGCCCATGTCGGCTCCGAGGGTCTCGAGGACGTTGCCCGACTCGATGTGTTTCCTGAAACCTTTGACATCGGCAGAGAAGAGGCTAAAGGCGGCGTTGGCGATCTCGTCGCATCGGAACTGGGCAAGAAGCTCTTGCTGGGTCGGCAAGTCAAGATCCTTGTTGCTCATGACCTGATCCCAGATCGAGTTGAGGTAGTGCGGGAGGCCATCGGCGGGGATGCGCTTGTGATACTCTGGTCGAAAAACGAAGTTTGGATCCTTTGGATTAATAAAGCGCTCTCGCAACTGATCGACTGCCTTGTCGAACTCGGATGGCAGGAGGATCTTGTGAGGCAGTGTGGTGAACATGAAGTCGAAGAAATCTGTGATTTGAGAGGTTTCCAGGCCCTCAGGCTGGACGAGGGAGAAGGAGGAGGGAGTCAAAGTAGGGAATGGTAAGAGGAAGCCGAGTGCAAAACGATCAAGGGAAAAGGACTATGCACCGGCTGGTCAAGGTGCAAGTGTGACCGACGAAGCTCACCTTGGAGAGAGAGTCCCAGATCCTGTTCAAGTCGGCCAGCAAGGTGGCCTGAAGGTTTTCAAGAGGTGTAGTCCCGACGTGGTCGCGTATGACGAAGAGAAGCAGGGTTTTGTCCTTTGGACCGTTCAACTTTGCTTTGGAGGCCTGGAAGAGGCCAAGGTTGACCTCGAAGACCGTCTTGAGCAGGCCCATGTTGGCACCTTGATAGAGGCCAACCTGGTGCTCCCAGAGGTTGACAATCAGACACTCTGCAGACGCCATGCTAAAGAGGGCTGACTTTCTCTCAAAGTCCTGATCCTCCCCCCTCTCCCTTCCGTCGGTACCTTCGACGTCCATCACCAAGACGTTCATCTTGATACCCCTGCACATCCAGATGCCTGATTGTAGAAGGAAAGTCGAGGGAAGGAGGAGGCTCAGTCCATGGGGACTAACGACCTCTAGCCAGCGTGGAGAACCCTCCTCCCCGCCATCCCGCCCACCGATCACTCACCTTTGGTGGTCTGCCTCCTCTGCTTTTCGTCCATGACGTCAAAGCTCGTTCCGAAGAGCTTGTTGAGCAGGGTGGATTTTCCCGTCGACTGAGAGCCTGGGAAGATCAAACCATGAGAGAATGACAAGCAAAGAAGGCTATCAGAATGTGCGAAAACTAAAACAAGGAGGCCGTTGACAGATGCTTGGATCTCTTTTGCAACCGATTCTCACCGAGGACGGCGCAAAGGTCATAACCGAAGCCGGCGTCGTCAAGACCCCACTGCTTGAGCTTTGGAGCGAACTGGGCGTTGTTGAACTTTTGATCCTCATCGATGAGCTGCATCCTCTCTGCCTGATCCGACAAGAGGGTGGGAGAGGGGTCGACTGGCATGTTTACACTAGTCCCGACAGTGGAGCCGAGGGTATGTGGAGCGAGTTGACCGGATAATGGGTCCATCATGATGAGAGGTGGGCGAGGTCGGTGAGTTGCAGGATTCTAGCAGAGTTGAATGCTGGCAAAGGTGCACTTTCTCAGCAAGGTCGCCGAGCAGGGTGGTGTATCGGAGCGCCTGGAGACAGGTTTCAAACCCCCTAGTGTAGATTTGACCCAGGGGGGGGGGGGGGGGGGGGGGGGTTGAGAGCGGTGAAGGCGGGGCGAGGGTGAGTAGGCTCGTAAGGTAGGTGTGGCGAGGTCCCAAGCTTCCAGCTCTTCTCGATTCGATTTTCCTTCTTTCTTTCCTGGATGTGATCTTGATCTTCCAGTCGTCGTTGTCGGCACAGGGAGGGGAAGAGGAGGGAGGAGGAGGGAGATGGAGAGGTGAAAGAGGAGGAGGGAGGAGAAGATGGAAGATGAGGAGGGCTCATGGTTTTCGCTTTCAACTCTGGTCGTGGCTGTGTTGATTGTTATTCGCACGAGCCTGAGCTTGGATCGCTCGGTGGCCAAGTGGGCGAGGGATGGTTTGTGCGCCAAACCTCGAGTGACACTCACGTGAAACTCCTCTCACTTGCTCAGCTCTCCATCAAGCACTCCATCAACCACGGAGATGACGTGGAAAGCACTGGGACCGCCTACGGTCACCTTGCCTGCCTCTTCTCTATCTCCTCACTGCTCCGATTGAGTATTCTGGACAGAGGGAGCCAAGGAGAAAGAGAGGAAGAGAGGCAGAGAGAGGCAGAGAGAGGCAGAGAGAGGCAGAGAGAGGCAGAGAGAGGCAGAGAGAGGCAGAGAGAGGCAGAGAGAGGCAGAGAGTGTCAGAAAGAGTGAATGCCGACGCTAGACTCGACGCGGCCCGCTACCACCACTTCCAGTCTCTCTCTCCCTTCCGCCTTGCCCTGTAATCAC